TGGCTAAACATTGGAAAAGGCTGCCCAGGGAAGTGGTTGAGTCACCATCCCTGGAAGTATTTAAAAGACGTGTAGAAGAGGTGCTTAGGCACATGGTTTAGTGGGCATGGTGGTGTTGGGTTGATGGTTGGACTCTATGATCTTAGAGGTCTTTTCCAACCTTAATGATTCTATGATTCTGCGTAGGCTGATTGTATGTAACAGGCTACTGGTCAATACGCTTGTCTGACTGAGCCCTGTACCTGACCACCACCGTCTGTCTTACCGTCTTATAAAACTCTACTCCTCACTATTTTCTGCATGAGTGTGCTCATTATTCTCTGCGCATAAGATACACCAACAAACTTCAAGCCAGATAAGCAGGCAAGTCAGACAAAATATCTGAGAACTGGATCATGGAGCTGGGGGGCAGCTACCAGAGAGACCTGAAAAGCAGGTCTTTCCCTGACCAGCAATAGTTCAAAAGAGGTTGGTCTGTTCATGCTGTCTGTGGTTATGTAGGTGTCTCTAAAGGCAGCATCCTTCTGCCTGTGTCAATCTGTTTGTGGTCATCCATGTCCATACAGAGTACATGTATGCACATGCAAGTCCCTCAGAAATTTGCACTCAAAGCAACTACTGGGGTAAGAAGGGGTAAGAAGGGGTAAGCTGCAGCCAGGTCTCTCCAGCAGCTTGAGGCAGAAGGAATTGCCTTGATCCTTCAGTCAGCTAGATCTGGCTAGCTTTAACACTGACTCCCTAATAAAGGAGGAGGAGCAGGTTGTCTGACTGTTTAATTTTCCCAAAACACTTTCAAGATGGCAGATAATAATGAAAAACTAAGTACGAGGTCTCTTCAGAAAGTTCGTGGAGAGTTCCTCTGCTGCAGGCTCTCAGAGCTGCTGTTTTCCCCCCACCCCATGCAAGAGGGAATGAATCATTGCTCTTGCTTTTAACAATCCTTAGACTCAGAGAATGAAGAAGGCAGAGACTCTTTTCCACTTTATGTCGCCATGGCCTACTACTAGTCATTTTGACCCTGTTAAAATAAAGACTTGCCCTGCCTTTCATATTATGACTACAAACTACCTAAACACACAGTACCATCACACAGACTCCATCAAGAATAAGTAGAAGAGACTTACAATCTACTCCAAGCTCTGCTGTAAGTGATCTATTGTAAATCTTATTATCCACCTCACAGCAGGAGAGAAAAGTGATTGTCACCTCCTTGGACAGAGACACACAGCCCTGCTCTGCAAACACCTTGGACTACACTTGGTTTGGGAAGAAGCTGGACAGTCAGAAATTCAGTGCACTTTCAGCATACAATATCATGGATATGTAATACTTTCTCAGTAATTTCTCTCATTCTAAAGACAGAGGGGACTTTGTACCAAGTCCAGCACCTCTAATATCAGCCTCCACTTGCTAGGACTCATCTGGGCAAATTCCCCTAGATGAGACTGCCAGCCTTATTCCCATCTAGGATTAAAAAAAAAAAAACCACCACCACAATTGTTTGAATCTAGATTTGGCTTTATCAGAAGAGAACAGATACACAGTACTTTATAAATGTGTGTTGCAATTTCTTAAAACATGACTAACGCTTTTGCTTTCATCTCTACATTTAATCTTACGGCACCATAAAACTTTCTTGTGCCGATCCACTGGTGATCACCCACATTCTCTTAGACACACAAAGTGGTAGTTGCTCAGGTAAAATAAGTCATCTACACAGCAACAATAAACTCTTCAGCCAGCGTTTTCTTCAAGCAGACTGGTAGAAAACTGCTAGGTTAGTGTCTAAGGCTATCATAAAAGTCAAGCTTACTGCTTAATTGTTAGTTATGTGTATTTAGTTGGGATGTTTATTGCCTTTTTTCAATGCTTCGGTAATTTTACAGTAATTAATGCAAACAAGCTAGGATGTCCCCTTAGAGCTGTCTTTGTTCCCCCTACTTTCACAAGACATTAATTTCAGTTTTCCTTCTACTTTTCCTTCCTGAGTAATTTGTTAAATAACATTTGCAAACTGTTCACTCATTAAAATCTTCAGCCGTAAAACAGGGTGTGGGTTCACAAAACAACATTTACTCAACAAGTTCTTGCATCTTATTTGTCAATAAGATCATTAACAGTTCGGTTTCTGAATACTGTAACAGGTGGATGTTTGACAATTGCATTTATGGAAGTAGGATTTGGGCTTTTTATTCTTTATATTAGTTTAACCAAGAAAATGTAAAAAGCTACATTTCAATACAATTTCCCATTTAAACAGCTAACATCTCACAAAAATCTGTAAAGAAACACAGGATAGGAATGCCAAAAAAAAAAGTTACTTAAAAAGTCTTAAACACAAGGTGATGAGTAACAATAAAGACACCATTAAACTAAAAATAATCTTTAGCATTTCTACCAAATTTCAGGTCATAGAACTCTTCACATAAAACCTAATAAATCACTAAAACACAGTACTAGAACAAATCCTTATATTTGACAGATGTTAAAGCTGTGATGCAGACTATGCATTTTTTTTTAAAAGCAATATTGCATTTTGTTATGGGATAGTGTTTTTAGTTACACAAAATGTGTACTCTTAAAAGAAT